GAGAGAGACGCATATGCGGGTTTCCTGAAGCAAGGCCAAGCCAGCAGCGAGCGAGGAGGATATCAAGAAACCACCAGCAGTCGCTTGAGAAGGCAAGACAGGCCGAGACCGAGGCTTCTGCCGAGCTACTCAAACTGGAGAAGGAGAAGGCAGCCGTAGACGAGGAGATTCTCGGCCCTGGAAGACGAGGCGCGGGCGTTGGACCGGGAAGAGGAAGACTTCTGGCGCGAGCGAAACGCCTTCACAGCCAAGCTCTCCGAGTTTCAAAACGAGCGAGACAGTATCAACTCCAAGTTTGACCATGATTCACGCCTCTTGGAGAAACTACAACGATCCAACGTGTACAACGACACATTTTGCATCAGTCACGACGGCACTTTTGCCACGATCAACGGGCTACGACTGGGCCGCCTATCCAACAAGGCTGTGGATTGGCCTGAGATCAACGCGGCGTGGGGCCATGCGCTCCTGCTGCTCGTGACAGTGGCAGAGAAGCTGAGCTATAAGTTTGACGGCTTTGAACCGCAGCCCATGGGGAGTACCTCCAGGATCATTCGATACGAGCTCCCATCGCCGTCGAGCAGCCGGCTGGGGTCGCACCGAAGCGGACCTCCGCCGGCGCCGAAGAAGCACGTGCTCGAGCTCTTCTCCAACGGCGACCTGCCCCTCGGTCTAACGTTCATGCATCGCAAGTTTGACAATGCCATGGTCGCGTTCCTCGAACTCGTCAGGCAGCTGGGAACGTACGTGCATCGTCAGACGTCGGCCGAGGGTCACCCGCTGAGCCTCCCCTACAAGATTGAGGGCGACAAGATTCACGACGTCTGCATCACGCTGGGAATCGCGCAGGATGACGGGTGGACCAAGGCCTGCAAGTTGACGCTGACGTGCTGCAAGTTCCTGCTCGCCCATGCTAGCAATGTCAGCTCGAATGCGAGAAATGGCGGGAACTGAAAGGGTCAGTCTATCGCAGGTGGGAGAGCTGTAGGATGGGAGAGCATGGCGTTTTGTGGGGGGGGGGGGGGAGGAGGCACAACTGGAGTACTAGTCATTTGGCGACCGTAGTGTCTGCGTGACTGAGGCCAAATGAAACTGGAAAGTCTCCGGCCCATCAGGCAGGGATCAGAGATACCACCCGAGTGTGCATGTACCCTTGGATGATGCAATGAAGAGGGTGCAGCGAAAAGTGAGGGGGTTTGTGGTCACCGACCGAGCGAGACAGAGAAAGAGGAAAGGGAAAAAGAAAGAAGCCTGAAATTGACACAGCGCAAGAGTAAGCAGCATTCGATGGCTTGGCATGTCAACCTCTAGGCATGTTGACTGACAACTGGTGCTACGCACTACACGTTGAAGACATCTTCACGCCCTTCCATGTGCTACTGCCATTGGCATCTGTCTCCCAGTTCGCCTGCACGCGCTGCCTGCACGGCTGGAACGGCTAAGGTGGTCACCGCCAGACCAGGCTACTATGCATGCTTTCGGTTAGGCCAGGCGGGAGGTTGCAGCATCTGCATCTGGATCTAACCTCAAATTGATTCGGCGAAGAGAAAAAAATCGAGACGCTGGCATTCGACATTGGTCAACATGGTGGGACATTGCTGGTGGGGGCGACCATCTTGCCTCTGCTTGGTAAGGCAGGTGGATGCTCACCCACGTTCGACTCATCTCACCGAAGCGGCGGCGGCGTGAAGGATGACAACCGCGGACGATGGAAGTTTCGTCGTTGAACGAGGGACCGGGTCCCCCAGCATCCCCTCCCTCTAAACTCTGCTCGTTTGCTTTAATAGTGATCCAATCCGGTACGGAGCCAGAATTTTCTTTGGATTCGACGTACAATATCACGCGACTCGTCGATTCGAATCGTGGACTTTCGACTTGGGCTCCACGGAACATTTCAGACCCCAGTGCAGGCGACTAGGGTGGCTGCCGTACCTTGCGCGTATCTCGTACACGCGCTCAAGTGAGGAGGTGAAGTGAGGCTGGATGCGTGCAGACTCATCGGCATCACGTCAGCTTCCAATTCTTGGAGTCAAAACTCGACTCACTTCTCAGAGTCACCTCTTGGTAACACGACGAAGTACCACGGTACCCTGACCCTTTCTTCTCCCTTGGCGACCATAAACACTACGGGGTTGCGACACAGCAATACGATACGGCACAACACACTTCCCCCTGCGCCGTTCCACCTACGGCCCCCATCATGTCTCGCGACTCGACGTTACTAGGCGGACTGGCCGCGATCCTGGCCTTCATCGCCCTTTGCACGCTCCCCGCCCTCTCAGGCCTCATCAAGCAGCTTCGTACTCGC